AACATGCCTTAGTATAGCCTTACTATCATTAAAAATGCAAAAAATAATTCCCAGAAATGTAAGTTTATTCCCCAAAACATACTACCAAGAGAATATTTTGTGCTAAAAACTGTGCTAAATTATTCAAAATGTAAGTTTTAACCTGAAACATGCCCTGAAACAACATTTGTACTAAAAACTCCAAAAACCATTATATTTGAACTTGTCAAAATATCACCCAAAACAAGTAAGACTTACTATTGTCAAGAAATGACTAAAAATGCTAAACTAAAAGTTTAAAAAGTTTAAAAGCAGGTGTTCGACAACCACGAAGATTTGTCTCAGACAAATAGTCACAAAAATTAACTTAAAGACAAACATAACAAATTAACAGTGCCATGTGTACCTCTGTGCTTGTGATTCTCCAATGTTCCAGCTTTGGATGAGCCCAACGCCACCAGCCATCGTTGTCTCTCTGCAGCATTAACAGCTTTGACATAAAAATGCTGCTCACCAGGAATGATCAACTCCAGACGTGTGGGATCTTTTGGATGAACTGAAACATTAGAATTCATACTATTTACATAATTCTTATGTACACAAGGTGTTGTGGGTATGTTTACTAGGGAACTGATGCTAACAAAAGAAAAAACCACACACTTTGCACTGCAATCTAACCTTTAATGTCGCACACTGACATCTTGATGGATCCTTTACTTCCTTTACCGACGTCATCCTCACAGTCGTAATAAGAGATGACTCCATTCTCTAAGACAAACCAGCGGGGCTGCCAGCCTGAGGATAGAAGACAGGCTCAACACGTTCGTAAGTATGTCACAGACAGCAGCCAGTAAGTCAAAACAATCTGTCAAAGATTCACAAAATAAATCAAATTTGCAATATTTAAAGTGTACGTTCAGTCTTTTTATAGTTTGGTACGATGCTTAACAGATTTCTTAACTTATAGTTTGGTACGATGCTTAACAGATGACAGGCTAAACATGAGAAATCACTTTTGTGGCCCTTGACCTGAATCTCTCTGGAGATTTGAGAGACCGATATTAATATTGCACTACATGGTAAACACTGGTAACTTCTACTGCAGTAATTTTAGCCAACTCAATGTCATCTGGAATGCAGAAAAAACCCTGCAAACTTTTGGATGTTTTCTGTTGTGTACTTCTTGTGTGAGACTCACGTGCACCGTGTCGTTTCCCATCAGATTCACTACCATGCCCGACAGAAGAGCCGTTTTACACAAGAATGACAGAACACTCGTTCTTCGGTACAGGGCACATGGGCGCACCACGATTTCAGACGCAGGTGTGCGTGATTGCTGCGAGTCAGCAGTTTGATTGACACACCACTCAGCCTGTCAGCTACCGCCTTATCCACAAAGTGGCCTATCATTGCTATGGACAGCACTGATAGTCGAGCCAGGCACATAAAATAGTTAATTTTCAATTAAGTAATGTCGAATGAAAAAAGTGGGACAACAAGTTCTATTTGCGTGACGCAGGGCAACTCCTGTTAATTCTGCGCAATACAACGTGCAATACAACGTAAAGCGGGGCAGGCGGTCACTCGACTGCAGTCAGATAAATCAATGTCATTATATCCATCACGCATCAGCTGTATTTAAATCACGATAGAAGCAAAATTAAAGGCTCCACGTCACGTCTAACTGACACAAAACACCAGGGTAATTAATGTGACAATGTCGACTTTATAATAAGACGTGAGTGACAGTTATTCAAACAGGTGGATGATAAACATGAAACGCCGTACCTGTCATATAATTGGTCCATTTGTAAAGAATTCCTTCCATTGTTCCCGTTGGACTTCTGTTGGTAACTAGCTCGGAGCGTTAGCGGGATCAGCGACTGTTTGCTGTGAAATATCACCAAAATAACCTTCACTCAACTGTTTACATTCTGTCGGAAGTGCTGCTGCTTCGTTTCGCCACGGTGACGTTACTCTGTTTGACTGAGTGACGAAGCCAAACTTTTCTCCAGCTGAGGCTAAACGGAGCAGCGGACACCTGCGAGTATCAACAAAACGACACACACTACGGCAACCCGACGGAGACAATCTCAAAGCAAAACAAATACAATAAAATAGACTGACGTTGTTTTCAGAAAGATGACATAAATAGCATTTTTTATATCAAAATTTTCAACACAACGCTCATTAAGAAATTAACTGACTTACATATTAATGTGACGTCTCCACTGTGCGACATATAAAGAAATGAAATGTATAAAAATCATTAACTTTCCTTAAGTCCAAAAAGCATAAGCTCAACACCTCCCATCCAGGCAAAATTAAAAAAGTAAATAAATAAATTAAAAAAAAAAGACAGTTCTGCAGAACATTTTTGCCCATAATTGTTAATCTCTTTATTGCATTAGAACATACATTTCTCATATATATATATCTATATTTATTTTATAAACATTAATTTTTACACTACAATCTTTTATTGTTACATGTTAGAAAATACTTGTAACGCTTCAAAAACCTAGCACTAAAAACTATGCAACTAATTTGTAATTGCATTTCAACTTACCAAACAGTTATTGTTACATTTTCTTGTTTTTGTTTTGATTTGGCCACCAACAACAAAACAAAAAAGAACACTGGGATGCAGTTGTTGATCAGGAGAGGAGAGAGTTGGACCACGGGGGGAGGGGGAGGGTGATGGAGCAATTGTTTCGTTTGCAGAACCTTTTTGTCACTGGTGGGTGGGGGCATTTAAAAGAAAGAGGGAGAGGATGAAGAATGAAAGCAGAGCCACTTGGGAGGGATTATTAAGAGAAAAAAAAGCAGACAGTAAAATATTTGTCAAAGCTTGTGTTGTTTGTCGCTGTCCAATTCTTAGTCAGACTTTGTCCAAGGCCATCAGGCATTGTCCAGGCAACCCAATAATATCAAACAAAAACAACAAACTTAGTGAACAAGTGAACTAAAAATATTATATTTTACAGCACACAATGTTGACCGTGATATTTGTTTTTAGTTTGACAAAGCTGAGACTTTGTGTAGGTCAGGCGTCGGCAAACTTTTTGACTCGAGGGCCACAACTGGTCTTAAAATTTGACAAGGGGGCCGGGTCAGGAGCAGATAGATGGAGCGTTCCTGTGAACTAACATAAATGACGGGAGCAAGTCATGCTTAAAGGCTAAAATGCTAAAATGGTTTTAGCCTCCTCTACACCATCTATAGGGAATACTTGGGCAATGCAGGGAAAAGGCAGAAGTATAATGATAATATAAATCAATTTAATATAATTTGGACAAGATGGTGGGCCGGATTAACAAGCTGAATGGGCCGCATCCGGCCCCCGGGCCTTAGTTTGCCCATGCCTGGTGTAGGTAGTAGAGGTATGAACCTTACTTGGTATCACAATAAATAAGGAAGATTAAAAACATGAGGTGAAGACAGCTGCAAGCAGGCGGGGACAGATACAGGCTGGAGGGAATGTTATGAAAAAGACGTAGCACAGATACAGGGTAAAGAGGGCTACGGTACAACACTCCATCACACGAACACAGACGCACTCACACAGAGGCTAAACTACTGACACCGTGAGAGGAAGGGGGTAAGGATGAGGAGGTGTTAGACGTCACGGAATGTCAGTTTTATGTAGTCCAGGAAAAAAAAAAAACATGTAAAAGTGTGTTCCATCACAGAATGATTGTCCTCTTGAACACACTTTAGCGCTACCGTCTGTACACTATTTAATCCCTCTCCCCCCTCGTGACCTACGGTCTATTTTGTTAATATTAGTAGTTTACCCACAAAAACAAGAAATACTTCAATATACAAACACATACACACACACACGCCACACAGTTAAGCTAACCTAGTAAGCGTAGCAGTGGACACTTATTGTGCGCTTCTTGAATACAGAATAGCAGTTTTTGATATGACAAGAGTACAAGTATAATCAGCAGTGACTAAAACATTTTAAGAATGAGGCGTCATCCTTCATGGTACTGAGTTACTATCATGTAAACCTTTTTTTTTTTTTAAATGTGGGAAAAGAGTGGTGAAAAGGCACCAAAATGTAACCACTGGGTAACTGACCTCTGTCTCAGAATGAAGCAGATGAATAAAGCCTGCCAAAGTAGAGAAGTAAATATTTCAGTATCTGTTAAACAATACTGGTATAAAAATGTGTCTTGATACTGAACAGAGGTGAAAGTCAGATTTTTAGTGTAGAATTTGAGCGTCGGTCATCGTAGAACTGTACAGAGGTACAGTGTTAGATGGCAGCAAGAACAATGCATCTGCTAAAGGGACACCAAAAAGACCAACTGAACTGTGGGGATTCTGCCGGGATACGCGAAAAAACACCTTAGGCACTCAGCCGCAGAACTAGGTTTCATCGTTTTATTGTCTAACACAAAAATGACTCAAATAATACTTCAAAATTGGTTAGGGATTCTCAAGTGATCCAAGAAAATGTAAGTGATGAGCTTGACCTAATTCCTATGTGTAGAGAAGTCAACTATACACTAAAAAAAATCAATTTCAGAGATTTCAAATCTCAGGGGCGAATAAAGATTTTGCTAAAATCTACCTTAAATGAATTTCAGAGATTTCAAATCTCAGGGGCTAAGAAAATGAACTGAAACATGTGAGGAGATTGGTCTGTAACTTGTTAAAATCTGCCTTAAATTACTAAACAGCAAATTGATAACTTAATGAGGCTGAAATTATATCCTTTCTTTTTTTTTAGTAAGGTCGTTTTTGTCTGTTTGAAAAGAAAAAAAAACATAGTAAATTTCAAGTAAATGTATGTCATTTAATAATACTGTGCTTTAATGTCTAGCTGTTCCAAACTAAACATGTCAAGGCAGAATATCCCATTTTCCCATCTGTCTTTTCCCTCTCTCCCAGTGAGAGTGATGTTGTGTTACAATGCAGTGTTCCTAAGGCGGTATCACAGTACAGTTTATAGAGAAACAACAACAGTACAGAATGTAACTGGCCTTCCCAGAGCCATCCACCTCAGGTCAGACACTGGTGACTTCTAAAAAAAAAAAAAAAAAAAAATGTTTTTAAAACCTCAACAAACTACTTTTGTTTTTAATTTCCTGTTTGAACTTGGGGGTCTATCTCAGTGTTTCCCAAACTTTTTTTCTGGGGATCCATATATTAAAAGTCACAAACCTTTGCAACCCAAGTCAATAGACATTATTCGTAAACTCCTGGGAAACATGATGCGAGACGACCCAAAAAAAATCCCTCTTGCGACCCACCTGAGGGTCGCAACCCAATCTTTGGGAAACAATGGTCTACCTGATCCGCAGGATTTTCCGTAGACGTCAATTGGAAGAACGTGGTCGCTGTTCCTAACAGACACAACGACTCCCAACGGAAGCTATTGATAAGAACGATGGCTATATTAATCATTACGTTTTAATGGTTCATGTTCAATAACTGTTTGGTTACACATACTCTAAAGCTGTTTGAGCAACATGGCTCCACATCTTCTTCAGCGATACTCTCAGATATAAGATTCTGAGCTGGGGTCCGCCCCAAAATTATGTTGGTTGGTTCTGGTACCGATTTAGCCATTTTTCGATTGGTGTGAATAAACGTAACCAGCAGACATCTATACAGCACCAGATGTTGAAATGTATTTTATCCGTCCTATAATGACTGAGGTTCAGCTACTGTATATACTACAATAGACGACACTATGACCTATATCCATAACAAGTAACAACTGTGGCTACCTGCCTGCAGTGCCAGAACCATCCCAACAGGTGTGGTTAGGGTGACTGTGTAGTTTGTTTGTTGTCTATAGTACAGAAGCATTTAACATGATGGTCCACCAGACAGATCAGATAGAAGATATCTTACAAATGGTCCGATACAGTTATGGTACAACATCTATACATCAACTATACAGTGTGCCTTTTTTTTTGTTGTTATTATTGTCACGGGGTCAGGGTGGTTAGACGTGGTCACATTACATCACAGTTGTAAGATAAAGGGGGAGGGGGAGATAGTGAAGGGCCAGAGCCACAGATTAACAGTATAAGAGTTTTTTTTTTTTTTTTAAAGTACAATCAGTGCCATCTTGATACATGAGCCGGTGTGAGGAACCACTACAGAGTAAGTCGGCTGAGTGGTTTTGGCAGTAATGTGGCAATAGAGTAGGATAGGTTTCCCATAATAATTAAAAATAATAATAATGATAAAGAAACTTTTTTTTTTTACAAACAGAGCCACTAAAAGTAAAATCTGGAGAAAATAAAAAAATAATAAAATCTATTGATAACTGGTCAGGTTTTCAATACAGTAAGAATTGAAGCAAATAATCTAGAGGTAGCACTTGGAGATTTTTTTGTTTTATTTCTAATTGGAATATTATTATAATTAGTGTATTCAGATAAATTATTTAAAGTAAGTTGTTAAAAATATTAAATAGGAATAGAAACGTTTTAAAAAATATTCTTTAAAACTACATGTTAACATAATCACTGTTTGACGTGTTGTTGAGTGACTGAGTTTTACTACAATAAAATAACTATATTAAGAATAGATTTTAATGCATGTCGATCCACAAGAAAAATATATTTGCCACTTCCTGTCGGTGTATTTTGTATGTAGTTCCTTAGAGATATCACTGCTGTCGGTCTGAGTGACACGACACACACTCATTCAACCCTTCTGATAATCACATCATATTTCTTCGAACCTTAATAAAAAATGTTTTATGATAATGATATTTTGTCTTACTGACCAATTACCCTATAATATCTTTTTTTTTTTTCTAAGCTAATAACTGTTATACAACAACATACTTGTAGATTCGACTTACAGTGAGAAACCGACAACATGGACTCCACCATTACAGAAGGGGAACAAGCTGCCTTCAGTCTGTCCATGTCTCTGGATCTGAATCAGGTCTGGTTGTCAGAGCGACACGTGAAAGATCTCGGGCTCGGGGACACGGAACAGTCGAAAGGCTAAAGGGGTCACAGCACTACATAGGTTGGAGGGGTCTGATTGATACGGTGTTGACCTTTTAGGTTTACAGAGTGATGAGAAATATTCTGAGACACAGAAGTCGAGAGGTTTATGGGTGAAGACGAATGAGGTTAGTATGAGTCTTATGGGGTTGGAAATGTTAAGATATGACTGTGGCTTCTGTTACTATAGCAGGGTCTTCGATGTCCGCTTTACTTTGAACCATCCTCAGCTCTAGCTGCGGTGGACTGGGCCTCCGACCAGGACCTGCTAACTCTGAGAGAGTTTTTTCCGTCAGTGGTATCATAACAGAATGTATTCACACTTTGGAAGCAAACTTAGGTTGTTTTTTTTTTTTTACCATGAGCGTAGGATATGGTCCTCTGAATAACATGGTGCATCACTGAAAATGTCTTCTCGCAGGCGGTCTGAAATGAAGGCAGGATTAAATGAAAGCTGTTGAAGTTTCAGAGGTGGAAATAGTACTTAAAAATGCAATTAAGTAAAAGTTTCTTCTGAAAATTTACTTGAGTAAAAGTAAAAAAAATACTTAATTTAAAATTCAGTTTGAGTACAAGTTACTTAGTTCATTTAAATTACGTGACGCAAAAAAGGACGAGTCATACATCCAATCGGAATTGCATGATAAAGTCATTGCCTTGTATGCATTTGAAAACAAGATTTGAGATTTGGCCAACAACTTAAAAAATGATATTGCTCACTCACAAAGACAACTCAATTACAGTAACGTGAGTGAATGTAATTGGCTACTTTCCACCGCTGTGTAGTTTGTACTCCGAAACTCAGTACGTATGCAGACGGTTGTGCGTCGTACCTTTAGGTCATTAGGGTAGTGGTGCGTCCATGCTAGCAGCATTGCAGCGAACAAATCTCCAGTGCCCACGAAGACGGCGTCCACTTTAGGAACTTCTATTCGAACTCTCTGTGTCGTCCTGCTGCCGTCTGGTCGAACTGAAGAGCACAGAGGAAATGCAGTGTTTAATAAATGAATGTGAGAAGGAAGGTTTATTAGCAGTAAATGCATTCCCTATTACACAAAATATTATTTTATATATTTCCTATAATACATATTATTATATGTAATTCAAAGTAGGGCTTTATTTTTTGTAGGGCTGCGATCTTGTTACACCAGCATAGTGGTTCTCATATTTTTATCTGTACAAACCACTGTATGATTTGGTGCCACCTAGTGGCCTCCCCTGGCACCTCACCACCTCACCCACCCCTCCTCCCTCTGCCCCACTATTAGAGGAGTACATCACCAGCCTAAAGGGACATTACCCACCATGACGCTGACTGCCCAGTGACACCAGGAAGTTGTCTCCCAGCCTGGGGGGAAGATCAGAAGAAGTGATGACCACTGTGTCTGGGCCCATGGCATGAAGAAGGTCCATCACCTACAAACAGTAGTGCAGTGAGCAAAAATGAAATATATTCAAAATGTAATCATTTCCGAGTTCTTTAGTAAAATCTTCTAGAAAAACATTGTGGTGGAAGAAAGGGAGGGAAATTAAAGGGAATCCGTTACCTCTACAGCATCTTTCTCTGTGCTAATGTTTTTCCCTGTCAGTAATCTGAAACATGAGAATTAAGGTCATTTTCACTGAAAGCGAAATTAGCAAAGCATCATGATCATCAACATTTGTGGAAAAAAATGCAAAAAAACGTTGTGGAAGTAGTTCTATTTACACGTCACCCCAACTCCAAAATAAGATTAGATTAGATTACCGTATATACTCGCATATAGGCTGAATTTGAAACACCAAAAAAAAAGAAAGAAAAAAGTTCAAACCGGGGGGAGGGGGCGGCTTATATGCGCATAAATACCTGGGACAGAATTTTCGATTGAGTCGATTGTGCACTATACTGTTAGTTTATATAATCAAATCAAATATAATAGCCATCAAATACAGGACATGGATGGATTTTCTAATTGTGATTTTTGACTTTTAATTAAGAAAAAAATAGAACTATTAGAAAACAAGTAGGTTGTACTCACTCAGCTTCAAACTGGTTTGGAGTTATAATGTCAGCAACAGGAACCACCTTGTTCTTATAGACTGGGTAAAGATTCTGAGGAACATACTACAGAAAGAAAAAAAAAAAAAAAAAGAAAACTCACAAAACATATACAAGTACGAGTGAACAATTAGCATTAGCTCCCTTAGCGTTCTTCCATCTGTGAGTACCATAAACGTTGGACTTCAACCACTATGGGATGTCCGTTATCTGCGTTCTTCCATCTGTGAGTACCATAAATGTTGGACTTCAACCACTATGAGATGTCCGTTTCACTTATTACTAATTTGCGCAAATAATTATGATTAAAACAAATACAATAAACGTTGGCTCTAAAATATAAAAACAAAGGAAACTTAAGGACCTCCAAGGACCGTTCATAGTGTTCTCAGATTAATTAACACATCATAATACAGTGGGGCTTCAAGATACACGTTTAATCCATTCCACAACAGCACTCGTTTTTCAATTGCATTTCCCCCCATTCAAACTAACTGAAAACCAATTAATTCCTCCCAGCCCGCCCCCCCCCCAAAATATACTATTAATTAATTAAATTTAAATTTCCCACTATCTAAACATCACAAACACATACATATATAAAATGACCCAGTGAGGGACAGTCAGCGAAGGAGAAGGACTGGGAGTGAGAACTCGACTTAGATGATAGAAAAAAAGAGAGAGAGAAAAAAAGCAACGGGTTAAATAACCCATCGAGGGACAGAAGTTGCTTACTCGAAACACGGAAAACCCATATTTCGGGTAGATCGTATCTTGAAGGCCCACTGTATAGTGACAAATTCATAAATCAAGACTCGTGACAAGCCATCTATCTATAATCGTGACACAGTGTATGATAACAGTCATCAATAAATGCATCTTCACCCAGAGCACGGACAGCACTCATGAACTCACCATAGATCCATGATCACCAAGGACTGGGTCACATACTGAAATGGAAAACACAGCTTCATTTAGAGAAGGATCACAAACATGGACAGTGTTAAAATTTACCCATAAGCCTTCAGAAGACTAATCTGCTGAGGGCGAAACCAAGAGTTGGGCACTAGTCAGAATTATTAAAGAGAGAGACCAAGTCGCAAAGAATTACATAAGAATTAAAACAATCACAAGCCAGTTTGGGGATAAACTGTATGCTTTTACAAATGTGTCCAAAATATTCTATAAAATAGTCATACTATTTTTAACACAACACAACTGTTAAAAGTATTTTTGTGTAAAGAAAAAAACATAACAAAAAACAATAACTGTATGTTCATTTAAACCACCAAAGTAAAAGTTAACATTTCTCTAAAAGTTTCGATATAAAAACAAATTGCTCTGCCCTTGCTCACATGTACACAATTTATGACAATAAATATTTCAACCTCAAGGCCTTTTGAAGTTTGACAGGTACTACACAATCCGATTATTGACAACATCAGCTGGTCAAAAATACAGGACTGCATTCTGTCTGAAGATGAACAGAAGATGTATGGCATACCACCACCAAACAAAAAAAATGTCACAAAAATATATGTAATAAAATACAACATTCTTCTAGCTTCAATTTATTTGCAATTTACAAAAAACAGTGAGAAACTGGAGCCTGTTTAGTTGAACACAACTAAACCACTGCTGTGCTCCCAGGAAATGAAGAAAGACACACACAGGGAATTCCTCATTTTCAACAGCTTTTGGTCACTTTTCTTATTGTTTTTCAATAGCCATCTGCTGTCGATCAGCGGATGTGGCACTTTGTGCTACATTCACTGCATGAAAAGTGCTATACAAATAAGTGAAGCTAGGTTAAGTGGTTTTAATTGTTCTGCCTGTCAAGACAAATTATTTGCAGTAAGTGATTAGTAAGTAACGTTTTCAGTAAAGTTGAAGTAAAATTGGGCAATTTTCCAGGTGCAACTGATGATCCCTATGATGCACTAATGTACTATTTTAACAAACTGCAATACTTGAGTTTGTCTTCCTTCAAGTGACAATGAATAGATTTTTAGGCAACAACAATATGTTAGTCTTAAATTGACGCCTTTGCCTAAAAAAAAGAAGAAAAAAAAGAAATATATTAAATGCAACTGACCATACACCAGGTTTGGATTGGCTCTCTTCAGCTCCTGAACAATGTCCACCACCATCTCTAAAAATGATGTGTCTCTAGTATACCCTATAAATAACAGAAGGTAACATTAATACAAACTATTTTTGTTGTTAGCAATGCAAACAAACAACAACAGATCGCAGAGGCATCGCCACAGGACGATAGGGGGGGATATCTTGTGAAAATTCTAACAATACTCCTTTTCTTAGTACATACATTCCAGGCACCCGGCAAAGGCAATTCAGAGCAGTATGAAATAATATAGTAAAACATCACCTGTTAAAACATAATCATAGTGGTGAACGTTGTTCAGCTTGATTCCTTCATAAAGAACGTGCAGCTCATCTGCCGTCAGCACCTGGCCTTTCCAGTGGGAATAACCTGGATAAGACAGGATAACAGAGTAGAGTAGAGCAAAGTAGAGTAGAGAAATGTAGATTAGAGCAGAATAGAGTAGAAAAAGAAACAGGCAGACCGGAGGACAGAATATAACACAGTAGAGCAGGAGAAGAGAAGTTTTCTAAATCCTTTATCAAACAACTTCAAATACATATCACATCATCTCAGCTCACACAAACTCAAAAATGTACAAATAACTCCCCATCTTTCACCACAGAACACAACAACCTCCACCAGCCAATATGGTTGAAAGTCTGAATATATCCATCAACCACTAGTGCGTATTTTCTACAGAAATCTTTCCATGACCATCACCAGATGCCTTACCCTAAAACTGGTTCCTGGGAGTCAGCCAGGTGGCCAACTTGACAGAACAAGATTTTTTTAAAAAAAAAATCAATGTATGTACCTTTTGTTTTTCTAAGCACAGTATCTTTTAAATCATTCAAAAAGTGCTATCAAGTGAGGACATTTGACAGATAAATGATCTCGCCTCTCAGTTTTAGAACAAAAGACACATTCCTCCCCCATTTCGGGATCCATGTGTGCCCTGTATCTGCTTGTAGCTTTTGCCCCCTGTACAATCATCTTTTCAACAGGCATCTTTTCAACAGGCGGCTGCAGCTGCCTAAGGGGGGAAATGTCTGGTCCAAACAACTCGGTCCACCTCGACTCATTAGTCCCTGCCAAGGAGTGCGGGACCAGAATATTCCTTGCATCTGCGGGTCTTTTCATTCAAACATGGCTAACTTACACCGTGACTGTAGCAGTGTACAGTTGTACAGCTACTATCATGCTGTAGCAGTGTACAGTTGTACAGCTACCATCATCAAAGTGACATGCCTGTTTTCTAAGGTGCGTCTTGCACGGATGCAAGTACAGTGTGAGCATGTCGTGATCCATAAACTGGCAGCACGTGTTAATGCACCCATGTCTGTCTATGACATGAGTGCTGCAGGCTGATGATGACGCAGCTCCAGGTGAGTCACAGCCAGGTCACGTGGGGGAGTGTTGGTTGCTAAGCAACAAGATGGGAAAAAGCCAAGGGGGCTCAAGAAAAAGATGAGCAGTGTGTGTGTGTGAGAGAGAGAGAAAGAAAGAGAGAGAGAGAGAGGGAGAGGGAGGGAGAGAGAGAAGTAGGACCACAGATAAGAGCTTCTGTCGTCATCATTCGCTAATGTCGCAATTCACAGCACCTTCTGCTGTTTACTGATGCTCTGTCTCTCTTCTCCCCTCACCCCTCATTTTGCCAGGCAGCCTCTTCCTCTCACAAGCAAATGTCAAGTTTAACATGTCATATCAGAGACTCAAGGAATTACACATATTCATTTCTCATTAACAAGTTTAAGGTCACACCACACTCTCCGTCATCTCCACGTGTCACAGACTTATCTTATTTCCAATTTTCCGAGGTCCCCACTAGCGCCCCCTAATGACATTCTTTCTCATGCCATGCACAACAGTGAATGCAAGGTGTCATAATAGTATAATAACAATTAAATTCCTTGACTCTCTAATCGATTAGACATAACCCCGCGAACATTGCGACAGAGTAAAGCTGCACCAGAAGGTTAATTTTTGTATGTGCAGTTTTTCAAATTGGAATATTTGACATATTAAGGCTATGTCTAAATTCTCACATGCACACACAAACGTGTTTTTCACCTTACCTGTGTGGTTGGAGAACTGGACAGAGTTGATTGAGTCCACCTCAAACCCTAAAACCTTCAAACAAAAGACAGAGAAAAACAAAAACATAAGGGATAATGGATAATATCTATGCAGGTCCTATTAGATCTATGTGACGCATGTGTTTTTGTGGATTATAATATACTATTACAGAGGCTGGTGCAAACATTTGGAATTAAAGGTACACTTAAGTAAAACGTAGCTGAGAGATTTCAGGTTGTTGATCTAGACAGAAAATTGTGGTGTTCCCCAAGGTTCAGTACTTGGTCCAATACTATTTACCTAATTCATGTCAAGTGAATTATATAGCCCAGATTCACAAAACAGGATGTGCTGGATTGGATCGGACACTATCCGGAGTCAGTCTTTGTTAACCTCGGCCGCAACCAATGCAGTATGGAAGTCACTTTCCTCATCATACATTATTGATTTGGCACAATTTACGCCAATGCCCTTCCTCATGGAACAGTCCCCATTTTATCTGGACTTGGGACCGGCACTAAGAGGACACTAAATATGCCCCTCAGTGGCTGTGTTCTAACCAGTCTACTTCTTGGTTTTAAAATGCTGAATCTACAGTATCTGTGATAATACATGCCCCACTTGTTGCAGAAGTAATTGTAGGCCTCAGTATTTTTTGTAGTTTCAAAGCCCTTCAACACCCTCTAAAAAAACCCAACTAATTTTTAGAACCAGTTTGACTAGTTCGCAGTACAAAGCCACTGACTATTTGCCATATTAGTTGACTTTAGTCCTAATATCACCTCTCGCTGTGCCATAGACACAACAGGTTCAAGGGAAATGTCTTGAACTGGAAGCAAGTCTGTTTATCGATAGTTGAATCCAGGGAACACATAAAATGGTCCAGGTATAAGATGGATCTTTTAGAGCCATGACTACCAACCTAAGTTGCAGACCTACAGGCTTTGCAACCAGCTGCCACCCTAGCTTCAGGAGGTGACACCCTCTATATCAGGCATGGGCAAACTGCGGCCCGTTTGGCTTTTTAATCCAGCCCACCAAACTTGTCAACATTATGTTATTAATTTCTATTTTCATTATATTTCTGCCTTTCCCCTGCAATGCCCACCCTTTCCCCAATAGATGGCATAGAAATGTTTAAAAGCATTTAAGCATTCTAGCCTTTACTGACTGACTTTTACATGTCATTAGCTCCATCTATCTGCTCCTGACCTGCCCCCCTGGTCGACTCGTGGGCCACAAGTTCGCTCACGCCTGCTCTATATAAATAAGTTCGACTTTTGGATAAAGGTAGAGCCTGATGAGGTAAACCTAAGATACAGTATGTCTTATAGTGCTGTACAACTAGACTGCTTTAGGAACTACTGAACCACTGTGTAATAACCTTGTTTTCTTTCTCCACTAGTCCATGCTCTTCCTCTCTCTGTCTTCTCATTGTCTTCACCTCACCAATTCCTAAATTCATCCAGACCAGGCCCCACCTGTACTGTAGGTTGTCATCCAATAAACAGTCACTAGTAAAACAAATCAGGCCAAATCAGGTCAATGAAAAAAATGGGCGTTGTGATTAAAAAACAACTTGTGGTATCCTCCAGAGTAAAAAAAAGCACATACAGTACTGTATACTGTAAGTAAATATTTATTAGAAATACTATGATAGAAGAATATACTAATATTCTTCTATCAGCTCTAAGAAAAAAAAAATCTTCTAAGCTGAGTAACACCTTCAATTTGACCTTGTGGTGACCTGTCATCGCACCTGCAAATAAAAACAACTTTATAGCAGTAAAGTGATAATAAAACACTGAATGTGTATTATTAGCAGGAGGTCTTCAAAGATGTGCCAACAATTTAAGTGGGCTGAGGCAAACAGATTGTGACCCATTTCTCAAGTTATAACTAGTTATAATAAGTTATAACTATTGCTGCATTTTCAATGTTGCCTTATTTGGTCCCTGGACCTATAATACATTATCATTATGTGTGACTATTAATGCTATGGATATGTAATTTAGAACACATTAAATGTTCTAGAATTGGTGCATATCATTAAAGTCAAATCAGTCAAGTGTAAGAGCACTTACACACGTATTACAAAGAGCAGTCTGCCTCTTAGCATGTGTGGCTCTATATTTTCATCTTCGGTGACATCACTGTGAGGAATCCTGCAGCAGCCAATCAGAACCCTTACACGTCTGGATTCTCTGCCCTGATATCGGCGAGTGAGGGACATCCTGCAATGTCACTACATTTCTTCCCTCATCTTCAACTCCTTCTGAATCACATTATTACATATAACGGTTGAAAATTTAGAGCACCCCCCACGCTGACACATGTGCCTTCTATTTATAGGCCTTTATTTACAGCCTGTCAAGATTTTGAACATCCACAGGCTCCAGAGGCAGCCCATTCACAACAAAATTAAGAAAGAAAAATCCTGACTGTGAAACGATTCATGCACTTCACAGACTCAGTCATTCATCTCAATTACTGCAGTGGGACTTCATTCTTGGAACCTTACACTTTGACCATTTTCAATCTTTCATTTCATTTTCAAATATGACGAAAAGAAACATTACCTTCCTCTTTCTGTGTTGTTAACTGCTCATATATTAGTAAGAGGAGGTAAAAAAAATTAAAGACAGACTTGAGTTTCACCAAAATGTGGTGTGCAGTTAGAAAAGTACAATATTTAAATATATACATATTTGTGTCCTGCATGTAGCCTTTTCTTTACAACAAGATCTCTGGTATTTTGTTCTTGAAAGTAAAATATAATCAATTGATAATTGTAATGATAAAAATAAAACAATTGTTTAAGAAATTATTTCCTGAATTGCATAGCCATGATCTGTAAATATATGAAAAATAAATTTATATATATATATATGTAAACATGTGTATAGTATATAAGTACAACAGGGAACAGCAGTAACAAATAAATAATGACGAATAATTGCTTTATAATTATGTAGATTGTCGATTATGTTTTAATAAATGCGGATTGGTTTTTAAAATTTGCGAAATTGTGTTCACTAATCCCTGCTATATTATACATAACTAATCACATCACACTGAGGACAATTGCTATATTATACATAACTAATCACATCGCACTGAGGACAATGAAGAGTGTTTGGTCAATTAACAACGTAGTTAATTGATTCAGTATTCAAATAGGGTCAAGCAGATAGCAAGGTTTAATGAGGACAAAATGAAGGTGGGATTTTTAGGCACCTCAAACTGCTGTCTGGCATTGACAAAACATTAAAAAATAGTCAAATTAAACTATGACAGAATCAGTTGGAGTCTTTACAAAAGGCTGAGCAATTTAAACATTGTCTATTTATAGTCAACATAGTAGGAGCAAAAGTTTACATATACCCATAAAAGAAAACAGAAATACAACACAGAGTGACAGCAACTGCGTGAAACCCAATTTAGTGGGTAAAAGTATCCGTCAAAGGCACAAAGAATGAGTTGGAATGGTAAAGGGGACACTGGATTTGTCCAAATACATTTCTCTACATTGCATAGCCATTCTAACTGCTGCCATGAGTACTAATTTTTCTGATGTTTCAGATAATCATTATCGTATTCTCTACAAACCCTGTGTCCTCTGCATACCCTTTCACTTAGAGGTTAACCTGAATTCTGCTTTGCAATGGCCCTAGTCACACAGAATCTTGGACCTCCACAAACCAACCCAAGCAGGGGTCAATTAATGAACACCGAGAGTTCCACAATCCATACCATCCTAATGAACACCGAGAGTTCCACAATCCACACAAGGGTCACCTCTAGTGAACGAACCGTTCACTTGTCACATCTAAGATGGCTTTTTATTCGCAGTTAAATGTCTGTACTGAAATAATAATTGAACAGCATCAAAAAGAGAACACCTTTCTTCGTTATCGGACACCCCAATGACAGGTGACGTGCTACCGTGCATCCTTGGTGATAAATCGATCAATTATGATGTCCAATAAAAAAAAGGAATAAACATCAGTGCCAAACGTATCGTTGTGGGGGGAGAACAACGTGTTTCTGAATAACTGTGTCTGTCCCCACTGCATTAACATTAGGTACAATAGGATTATTGCAACCTTAAAATAACGCGATATATAAATAAAAAAATCGCCATTTGAGAAACAACAGGCAATAAAAGAAAATATTATAGAGATGTAAGCCATGGTGATAAGAAGTTTGTATGTTATAAATAGCTGCACCGTGTTAAACTTAGCATTTAAGTCCTTTAGTTCGGCGTTAATGCAAAGTCGCGGTCAAGGGTGCGTGGGAGAAGTATGGAGCGTGTCAGACTGGGTCGTGTCCGGGTGTCTCCATCGCTGCCCGGTTGGTAATGATAGGTGTATTTACCTGTAATGGAAAAGATGCGCTCTTGTTGCCCACATATCCCCGAACTACATGGCTCTGTATGGACAGGACGCGGCATTCCATGGCGGCTCCCGGTCAGCCGAGGATAAAGGCAGACAGTCCGTAAATTTAACGACAACCACCTCTGAACATCACAGTAAACTAAAAGAAATTAACCGCATTTAGTCACAACCCTTGTCAATGAGAAGCTACTCTGGTTAGCCCGCCAAGCTAACCAGCTGCGTGTCCCACGCAGGATGACGGTGTGTTTGTGTGTTTGCGTACGTGCGTGAGCCAGACACTGCACGTGAAGGCGGGTGACCACTCTGACGGTTTTAACTGCTGAAGAGCTGTGTAATGATAGTAAAGGGGAGAGGGGTAGCGAGAGAATACACACACACACACTGCTTTCATTAACCGTAAATTGTATTATTTTAAGAGCTTGTTGTGAAATTAAGCATTAATGCTCATTTAATTGTATTATCTCCGATAAACATATCGTACTATATTGCACATTTAACCTTCGGGTGTTTCCAGCTGCAGATTCTGTACTTTTTTACACAGGCAATTTTAGCGACCACCTAAACCTTGTGACGTCAACAAAGAGCCCTATGCTTTCAGTGAATCCTTGTATATGACGAGTGCATTTGGACGTGAGTGAAGTTTTTTTTTTTTTTTGCTATGTTGTCCTGGTCTGTCACTCTACATGGGCAAAATGTCACAAAGCATTTACAACAAAATAATTATTTAGCGCTTTCATAACGTTGTTTTCTTAAGTATAACCTTTAAGTAAATGTGCTTTATTGCAGTACTTCTGGTTAAGTCTGTAAGTCTACGTCCTGTGGCTGTGAGTCACTCACTGTTTTATCTGAGTCGTGACTGAGTGGAGATCTGAATTGCGAAGTGCCGTCACTGTGTTACACACTGAACATGGTAATAAACAACATAACCGATCGTTATGAGATCGCATCGGAATACCAATGACAGAGCGATAATTGATATTTCTTTGAAATGTGATCGTGAAAGCTCTACCTTCTGTTTACTGAGACATTAAATGGTTACTGTGGGTTTTCTGTTTTTTTAACCAAAGACAAACCTGTTATCCGTAACACCAGAGGGGTTAAGCATTTACGTCGAGTACCATGTACTACTAGTGACGTTTTAATTCCCTAGTAATCGTTCCCACTGAAGTGAAATATAACGGTATGTGTCAAAACAAAACTAATGTCTGCCCGATATTTGTGGGTTCTTAACGGCAAGATATTCTCATATATGGTACTCCCCTTAAAGGTAAAACGGTCTTGGAAATAGCATTTATTGCTTTTTATATTTAACTGTAAGACACATTAGTAGTTTTGAATATTTTTGATGTCCTACTAGAAGATTTTGCGATATCAGTATAAATATATATAGTATAAGTATATTAGCTATGTATTATTTATTAATATTTATTGAAATATATATTTTTTGCAAAAAATATATATAACAATACATGAAGTGATCACGCAGGCTGGATTGAACACCCTAGTGGGCCCCGGGCCATATGTTTGACACCCCTGCTCTAAGACATTCCACAAAGACCCAAAGCTAATAAAACATGAATTGCAGATCAATTATTTCTATTTATAGAAATTAAATATAAATGATAAGTCGTAAAACCTCTACAACTTCAACCAATCCATTTTCCATAACAGTGGGCTAAGAATAAACAGCACTCAGCTGCAGACTTGGTCCAAATGAAGTTTATTCTGAACATGGAAAGACAACAACTTACATCCTTTTCTACAGTGATAATGACAGAGGGCTCTCTGTCGCCCCCTGCAGTCATATATTAACTCTCGGATAGCAGTAATATTACACACAACCTGGAACAACGACAGGAGGGTGGCAGTACAGGACAGTAGTGATGATGATGACTATCAACGTCATCTTTATTCTGGGACAACACGCACACATGCACACCTTCATCCTTAGCCATGATGATTATACGCTTGGCCGAAGCTGCTCTGACTCCTGATTGGACAGTGGTTGGTCACTATTATGTAACTATTGGTTGTCTCTCTCTTTCTCTGTGGTCATTCAGTCCATGAATGTAACTGTTGCAGTTATTTTAAAAAAAAAACAACTAATTTTACTAAGTGGCCATATAGTTTCTAACTAACATATACAATATGTACACATCTCTGCTGAGCAAACAAACTGGAATTTACAGTTGGCAGCTGTTTTGAAGACTCAGACCTGTGTCTGTTGAAGCGACATATTAGTACTTTAAAAACCACGACTGACACCTGACTAAAGAAGGCCATTAAATCCAGCGATAAAGACTTTGTCACAAAGCTCAGCTGAATTCCAACTTATAATAGAGCAATATTTTCTGAACAGCTTTACATTTTGTTTTTTAATTTTACTTTTCTGATTCAAATAAACTGTAACTCGAGGAGGATTAGTGCTTGTGCCTGCAATAAATGTACCTGTATTTCTTTTTTATTAAAACACTGTGTTGAAAATAAAAACATATCTTTTTTAAATATACTAATATGTGTCAGATGAGGTCAGTTGTGTTACATGGCCTTTGAGTTTTTTAAAAACAAAAACACATTATGGACTGTCAGCACAAGCAGGCCATTATAAAGTAAAACTCAGCACAAGCAGGCCATTATAAAGTAATACAACTTTGCAGTGTTTTTTTTTTAGGCTATGCAACGGTCATGAAATTACTCTGTTTTCTTCTTCTCTTAAGTCTTTATACTGAGCCTAAATGATTACAAAAAACAATAAATAAATAGAAATATGAACTGGCATGCATGTAAGAAATGTTTAGGTAATAAATAAATTGATTGATTCTTCTTTTTCTTTCGGCTTTGTCCCTTTTTTGATTGACACAATGTGCTAAATGTGATAAATCATACAAGCCCAAACTTTGATTTCACTCTGGAAGAACTCGGCAGACGTCACTAGCCAATGTTTTAATGTAGCTAATGTTGTGGAATTCAGGATTTGCTCATTCGTTATCGTTAGTACTCGTTTGTTAAACTTGGTTTTAAGACCGTCCATATACATGTAACTCATTCAATGGCCTACAGGGGGGAGCAGCTTTCCCAGGGATTTTGAGAACACTCAATCTGTCCACACTGAATTAAGCTACCGTAACTTGCTGAGGATGAACACAGTATACGCACCGATTCCTTCTGTTGTAAACTAACTCCAGCAAAACTGTAATGTTGCTGTTCTGGAGAAACTAACTCCAGCAAAACTGTAATGTTACTGTTCTGGAGAAAAAAAAACAAAACAACAAAAAAACTTCTCTTCCAAGTTACACTTGTTGTGTTAAACTAAAAAGTTCTTCCAAGTTACACTTGTTGTGTTAAATTAAAAAGTTCAAACTGGCCGTGTTGGACGCTCTGTTGAAAGTATCGTTATGTTTTAAAGGTGCTAGGAGTGCTATCAATGGAGCTTTTCTTTTTGAAATTGGAAATGGCCTAAAAAATGGTGGACCCACTGCGCAGTGACGGCCACTGAGACAGCGCCAAACAGCAGCAAGTCACAACAGTGGTAAGACTAAAAATACAAGATTTAAGAAAACCTCCATTTACACTATTGCATTTTACATAAGCTGTAAAATCGTCTCCCTGTTTTAGTCCTTGGTGGTGTTTATTATTATTATTATTATTCTGGACATTTAAAGTACGTCTAATTAATCAACACATCATTATTACACTTCACTTTTCCTGTTTAACCTGTACACGTAACGTCCCTTTGTACAGTAGTACACCTTAACGCACCATACCTCGAGTGCTGACCTTGAAAAAGAGTCAATTTTAGAACTAATGTTAGGAAAATGTACAAAGAAATGTTTTGTTGTTAGCCTGTCGGACATTTAAATACCTTCATTCTCCCTTTCTCTCTCTCTCCCTTTCTCTCTCTCACACACACACATAAATACACTGTCATACAAATAAGGATATTTAGGTTTTATCGGGACGTGGAGTGCTGGGATTGTCACTGGAGTTTCTGAAACTGAGATAAGGTCAAAGGAGATAAGAACAGCAAAGACTGGACTGGACTGAACAGAGACAGGCCGTCATATTAAATTCTAGTGGATTTAAAAGCAACTGACTTATTAACCTGGCACACTTTGACTTTGATTAGATACAGGAATCATTGTGTGAAATTTACCGGCACTATTAACCACAGGTGTTTGGGCAAATTACAAAGGTCCGAGGTTTGCATTAAAACACAATCAAATCTGAGTTAGTGCTAGGTTTATAAAAAGAAAAGGCTCTGCTTCGTTATAGTGTTCAGGACTTTGTTTAGGTGAAGAAAACAACAACACAACAGTTTGTCTAATCTGTATAACCCCAAATCCTGGATTCCTGTTCTGTTGACAGACTCTAAATCCTGCACACACAAAGATGAAAAATCGAGCTGTGGCCCAAGTGTTGGACGTCACACTGTTGGACACAAAATCAACATCAATCTTAAATTTTATTTTAAATGTGTCTTTATTTTATTTTTATATTATTTATTATATATGTTTTTTTTTTTAGTTTAGAAGAAAGTTCGTTGCTAAGTGGATAAATCGCTGGACGTTGAGTTTCTTCAGCAGGTTTTTAAAGATTTTACACATCACGTGTTTGTAAAATGCCTCTCTCATCAGTTAAGGACAGTCGCAGCGACTCAGTTTAACACCAACAATTGACTTGCGGCAATTTTTTTCATCTCTTAAAGGGAAGACCCCTCACTTTTGAAAGTTTTGTGCACTGTAATTTCTGACCTCACTTGACCACACAAAGGAAAACTAAAATCTGAAAGTATTCCCTGAGCATTTTTATACTGATCAAAAGAAGTATTTAAGACATCTAAAAAATACCAGGGTTTATCTTTGAGGCATAACTACCACTAAACAACGGAGTTCAAGGTTCGAGGTGACACTTTGTTGAAAGGATTATACCAAAAACACAGAAGCCTCTAGTTTAAAGTGGTTAGAGAACTGCTTATGCTCACAAAGCAGAAAAGAATTCAAAATATACAAGTGTTAGGAAGATTTTCCAGTTAGAAATTAAAATTGCATAAAGGTCAGTCAGTAGAGCCGTGCACAAGGATGGACAATAGGTAGACCAGGAACACGATACTTCTACTAAGGAGAAAAGTCAAGCATCACATTTCGGAAGAAGATCATTTTTGTGTGATAAAGAAAAAAAAAACCCTCTATCCCTCAGTCAGTCAGCAGATGACAATCTGAAGCACAGTTTGAAACTAGTGGCAAACTTCCTCCAGAGCGCTAAAGGAAATGGTTAGACCCGGGGTCCCCAACCTCAGGTCCAGGGACCGGTGCCGGTCTGTAGGTCGTTTGGTACCGGGCCGCAGTGGGACACAGTGAAAAAAATGTACTTCAGTTTCACTAATTTACTTCAAAAAGAATCCAGTCATATGCCTTTACTTTTTTCATTCAAAGATAATCTGTCAATGTTTCAAAACAACAGGTCATTCAGACTCTGATACCAACAGAAGAAAGTCTAAAAGATGTTTTCTTTCTAAAATGTAATTAGTCTTTTACGATAATGCGGTATTACCGGTCTGCAGTAACGACTGATACCGGCCGACCGTTCCCTGGTAGCTTCCCTGGTTTAGACTGCACTACACAAAACCTGTGGAGTCAGTGGCGTGAACAATAGACCAGGCTTCAAGTTTAGGAGATTTGACAAAAAGACATTTCTGAACATCCCCTAAAAATTTTCAAAAGAAATTCCTGGCGTTTTATTCATGAACAAGATGTTCACAACCGACTGGTACGATAAGAGAAGCTACAGCTACGTGCAGTGGTTCTCAAACGATGGCACACGTACCACCTGTGGTACCGAGGGTCCTTCCTGTTGAGGAAACTGATTCCCATTAGATTTCGGTGAGTCGCTTAGTTGTAAAATACACGAACACTTATATTCTTGGATGCTTTGTGTGTGGTTTAAGAGTAGTAGTATATATATATATTACCAAATATCCTTTTGTGATAGTGTAAAAACGTTCGAGAACCACTGCCTTCGTATCCTTTTTTTTTTTAGTTTTGGGGAAAAATTGTGTTTCAGTTTTTGAAAGTAAAATAGCGTAAGCTTCCTAAAAACATTTTTGTATTAATGAACACTGCTTTGGACAGCAGCACTGGGTCAATTAGACTATTGGCTTATAATAATGTCCGTAAGTCAAAGTTGTGTTTAACTGCACTGTTTTTGAAGTCATGTTCTAAACTAACCAATAGGGATGCCTTTAGTTGAATCGTTAGTTTTTCTTAAAACGGCGTAAAAGCCACGACGTGCTGTTGTTGTCGTT